CCCTCTGTCCACCCTCTGACATGCACTATTGCATACTCCCTCTGCATCCCCACTATCGTGCATACGCCCTAAAGCGTGCAACCCCTTCTTATGCTCATAGTAATATCGACATGCCCCCCAAACCACCTCGTATGTAGCGTATCCCCTTTTTCCCAACGAACCCTCCTGGTTCTCTATAGTCTCTTCCTCCTACACCACATGTTTTGTAAACTCTTCACTTAACTTATCCATCTGCCCCCACCCCCACCCTCCTTTACCGGCACAGCTTGTCATGGACGACGCTCTGGACATTACCTTTTTTTTCGATCCCCAAACAGTCGAATCAATTTCTGGCCGCCTCGGTGCATTGTCCTGGGTGCCATGGAGCTGGCGATGGGGTACACGACGACGGCGCAGAAGTGGAACCTGCGGCACGTGTACCAGTTCGACCTAGACACGCGGAAGTACGTCCGCGACAGACTCCAGGCTTTCAGGCACGAATGCTTGTGTTCGGGCCGGTGCTCAGGGATCAACTCCTTCGACCTTCGCATGTCGCGCCCGGACAGGTGACGGGTGGTGCACGGAAGCACCAAAATCACCCTGTTCCTCTATGTCTACAAAGCAGGTAACTACCATTGTGTAACCACCCGTTGTGTAACACCACACACACTCTCCCCCCAAGTACCATGCTCCCATCCAATTCCCCCTACCTTAGCAGCTCCATCTCCCATGTATCTCCCACAGCCCTGCCTTACTCTCTGCCTGGCAGAGCCACTGAGGGGCACGGCAGCAACTAAGCACCTCCTCTCCCTCCATCTCCGCCTCGCCCCTGCCTTACTCTCTGCCTGGCAGAGCCACTGAGGGGCACGGCAGCAACTAACCACCTCCTCTCCCCCCATCTCCGCCTCGCCCCTGCCTTACTCTCTGCCTGGCAGAGCCACTGAGGGGCACGGCAGCAACTAACCACCTCCTCTCCCCCCATCTCCGCCTCGCCCGTGCCTTACTCTCTGCCTGGCAGAGCCACTGAGGGGCACGGCAGCAACTAACCACCTCCTCTCCCCCCATCTCCGCCTCGCCCGTGCCTTACTCTCTGCCTGGCAGAGCCACTGAGGGGCATGGCAGCAACTAACCACCTCCTCTCCCCCCATCTCCGCCTCGCCCCTGCCTTACTCTCTGCCTGGCAGAGCCACTGAGGGGCACGGCAGCAACTAACCACCTCCTCTCCCCCATCTCCGCCTCGCCCCTGCCTTACTCTCTGCCTGGCAGAGCCACTGAGGGGCACGGCAGCAACTAACCACCTCCTCTCCCCCGATCTCCGCCTCGCCCGTGCCTTACTCTTTGCCTGGCAGAGCCACTGAGGGGCACGCGCAGCAACTAACCACCTCCTCTCCCCCCATATCCGCCTCGCCCGTGCCTTACTCTCTGCCTAGCAGAGCCACTGAGGGGCACGGCAGCAACTAACCACCTCCTCTCCCCCCATCTCCGCCTCGCCCGTGCCTTACTCTCTGCCTGGCAGAGCAACTGAGGGGCACGGCAATGCTTCAAGCTACCTCTCCGCCATGGCTCCTGTTATTAAGTTCAAGGCCATCAATGTCAAGCATAACTTTATCAGTTCCAAGATCTGATAGCATATTCGGGATCTCCACATCAAGGGCTGACTATCGACGCCAACTTTATGTTCATACAGCGAACATTGGATCGTCGTTACTGCTCCTGCAGAATCCTGTTTTTCAGATCATAAACTGTACACAAGTTTCCAGACATCCAAGATGGAATCAGAAAATAAATACAGGTGTATGGCAACGCTGGAAATACAAGTACAAGGAAGCATTGCAACGGAACGTCTTCAGATTATCGGCCTTCTCTACCATTGAACGACAATCAAAAGCAGGAACCAGAACATCGAATCAAGCAAGAACTCTCCAACTACAACTATTTGCTCCTTACGAAGAGGACCCTGGTGGTGTAAATCTACGCTCGTCACGGCAGCTTACGGTGAAGCATAATTGCAGGTCTATCTCAGAGTCAAGTTCCACTAACTCTACACAGACGAAGTGCGGAAAACTGCATCTTTTTTGCATGGCTGAAGCGACAGAAGGAGAAGTCACTATTTCTAACATACCTCGGGATTGCCATGAGGGAGAGGAAGCTGATGCTCCCGACACTACGAACTTCACAAGAGCTGGATGGGGAACTTTGGCGGATCCTATAATGGAGAACCCTCAAGAAGTATTCATGCAACTTGTCTACGATAATCTATGGCGCCATGCTACGACCACGCTTGATTTAAATGGAACCTCTCAAGGCACTCAAGAGATGGCTGCTGCTGCAAATCTCCCTCACGATTTCTGTCAGAGAATGGTCGGAGGAGGAGCTTCTGCAAATTTTCCTCGTGCAGTCGGAGTGGCTCCTGTCACACAGTTCAGGCAACTTCCTCGAGCGTTTGCAATTGTGATCTGTCACAGTCGTCGTCGCCAAGGCCCTGTCAGGCACCAATTTCGAACCAGGGCAATTTCTATTGCAACCCATCCTCACCACACTCGGCAAGGCTGCTTTGGGGCACAAGTCAAGAGTCTTCGAAGGCAGGCGATTTCCATCATGAAACTTCCCGGATCTATGGAGAAGGCATCAGTTGCGCCAACTCAACCCCATCACCTGAAGAACTGGCAAACCTGCAGTGTGTTTCTGACGGAACTGAAATGTGGGAGTGCAGGTTTTTCTAGCGGGCAGGTTGCAATTTTTAGGCACCTGATCTATAAACCACCGTAGATGCTTCCGCGAGGGTACGGTATGCTATACCTAGGCCCTCTAGCCCGGTTACGACCGACGGTGTTTTGCGTTGTACGTTGTATAATGCTATTTCACCTACCAAAAAAAAAAAAAAAAAAAAAAAAAAACTGAGGGGCACGGCAGCAACTAACCACCTCCTCTCCCCCCATCTCCGCCTCACCCGTGCCTTACTCTCTGCCTGGCAGAGCCACTGAGGGGCACGGCAGCAACTAACCACCTCCTCTCCCCCCATCTCCGCCTCGCCCGTGCCTTACTCTCTGCCTGGCAGAGCCACTGAGGGGCACGCGCAGCAACTAACCACCTCCTCTCCCCCCATCTCCGCCTCGCCCGTGCCTTACTCTCTGCCTGGCAGAGCCACTGAGGGGCACGGCAGCAACTAACCACCTCCTCTCCCCCCATCTCCGCCTCGCCCGTGCCTTACTCTCTGCCTGGCAGAGCAACTGAGGGGCACGGCAGCAACTAACCACCTCCTCTCCCCCCATCTCCGCCTCGCCCCTGCCTTACTCTCTGCCTGGCAAAGCCACTGAGGAGCACGGCAGCAACTAACCACCTCCTCTCCCCCCATCTCTGTCTCGCCCCTGCCTTACTCTCTGCCTGGCAGAGCCACTGAGGGGCACGGCAGCCCCTAACCACCTCCTCAGCTCTGCATAGAACATCCGTCCCTCGTGACACTGAATTCTTCTCTTCCCCACTCATCCTCAGGAATGCATCTGCCATATCCTTTCCCCAGGCCCCTCCTGTACCCAACTCAACCAAACATTCTCCACCCTACTCCCCCCTACCAACCCCAACACTAACCCCCCCGAAACCCCTCATCCCCACCCCGTGCACCTCTTACAACAGTCATTGTAAGAGTTTGTACGAGCCATTATTGCCTCGTTCAGTCGTGAAGGGCACAGCACGATCGTGCTCCGCCTCAGGCACATTGCCCTCTGGCTCTGCGGGGTGAGTTCATTCATGCCATTTCGCACGCCCTGGGTGCTTATCAATGGTAACACTAATGCAACGCGTTTGCTACTGAAATGCAGGTCGAGATGAAGATCAACGAGTTGTGTATGCAGTCAAGCTACAAGGACAACCGCGCCGCTGTTGAGGGGTATCACATCAAAATTCGGGATTGGGTTCGAGCTTGTCTTGCATGCAGGAACAATGAAAGGGGAACTTGGTGGGACGCCACCCAGAACGCTTGGAAATTTGTGGGCGGGAAATCTTGCGTGTTTATTAGCAATGATGGAGTGGAGGAGTGGTAGAATTGGCAATTAGTAGGTTTGTTGGTTGTGACGCCCAGTGATTGGAATTGTACAGATTTAAAATTAAGATATCATTTATTTGCAATAGTCAATGTGGCAAAAACAAAATAGAAAGGATACGTGAACCGTATAGATGAAATTGGTGTATATATAACCGCAGTTATTAACCCGGTAACTTTCAAAACAATGTAACTCCCATCGCGTATAACCAGTGGATGTTACCATGTAGACGAGCGTAGACGCTGGTTACGTGTTATCCAGCTATCGATCGTCGCCACTAAATATATATAGGAAAAGGGTGGTTAAACCATAAGCAATACCTTCAAAGTCGGCACTTTACGATCGTGCGATTGGTTCGACAAAGTTTTGGCCATCGAATGTGAACAGGCCACGTTGGACACGATGAACCAAAACACATTCATACCTACCCTGAACCACAAACACAGAGTCGCGATGTGCGGCCGCGATTTACTTTCACAATCAGTAGTGCAGCGAAGTTGCTTCGAGTCCTTTGCAGATGTGCGGCCGCGATTTGTCGCATGCATTTTGCGTCAGATTGGGGTCGAACTCAAACCTACCGCAAAGCAACTCAACCACCCTCTTCGAAGCATGTTTCAGAAATGATACGCCATTGCTGCTTCGCTGCAGGTTTCCCGTAAGTGCTGAAGACCCGTTTTTTTCCGATGTAGCAGCTGCTGGCAACGCTGGTGGCTACATTGCGGCGGAAGCCTCTGGCTGGTGGCGAGCAGAAGGTAGCGCGATGCTGTCACGGGCTACCGTCGCGCCTGGCACTCGCTGGCGGTGCGCATGTGGCGGGGTGGTGGCACGCTGAAGGGGGAAACGCGGGCTTTTTGAGGCGCCTCAAAAGCTGGCGGTGCGCATGTGGCGGGGTGGTGGCGCGCTAAAGGGGAAAACGCGGGCTGGTGCCGGGCTGGCTAGGAAGGTCGTCAGGGCCGCGCTGGGAGAGGCGACGAGGTCGCGCTAAGGAAGGCGACGCGGCCGAGCTAAGAAGGGACGAGGGGAGGGGAGGGGGGAGAGGGGAGGGGAGGGGAAGGAGGGTGGGAGGGTGGCCACGCTAGGAAAGGCGACCAGGCACGGGTGGGTGGGGTCGGAAACCTACTGCTATGACAAAATTGTGAAAACGGATGGGCATGGCAAATGACATGCATGAGTACATATAACCCATGCTGAACCCAAAAGTTGAGAAGTTCAACCCATAAGTACCTTTGCCTACCATACTGAACACCCACAACTACGGTACACACTTTCACACTATCCAGCTGTTTGTAACACAATTCCAATACAAGCACTTGAAACACAGTGACAAGGGCAGTCCAAAGACATGATTCAAATCAACATGAACACTTAAACTAAAGAGCATTTGCACCCTCTAAAGAGTCTCAAGAAGTACGCACAACGGAAAGATTGGATTAGGGTTGGGAAGCAATACAAGTAGCAACCCTAACTGAGTTGTACTCTCTAGGGAGTACCTCACTGCAGCCTATAACAATTATATGCATTAGACACACCCCCATATTCTAAGTGAGGGCCACCCAAAGACTAGCAAGCGAAACAACGGTCACAAGTCCAGTCAAGAACAAGCAGCAAAAACAAAGCTAGGGGTGGCGCTCAGAGTCACCACACACTCCGAGCACAAACAAGAGGTTACAAGGCCAGTTCAACAGTTCACTATAGAAAGGCAAAACAAGCAGAGAAAATAACAAGGCTACAGCAGCCGAGGGCCTACCTCAACAATCCCTAGCTGCACTCAGAACCTATGGTGGTCACCAGGCGCCAAGTCCTTGGTGAAGACGTCGGCAGTGTTGGCCTTTGAGGCCACAAAGTCCAAGCGTGCCTGGCCGCGTCGCTGCAACTCTCGAAGGAGAAAGTACCTCACGTCAATGTGCTTCACCCTGCTCTCCAGTCACGGCTCTCGACACAGGAGGATCATGGCCTTGTTGTCAGTGTACAAGGTCGGTGCAGAGCAAGGCCGCTCACCAAGGTCGGCGAGCAAGAAGGCCAACCAGCGAAGCTCCTGTGCCGCCATGGCACCAGCGTAGATCTCTGCCTCTGCACTGGACGAAGCCACAGACGACGACCGTGTAAACCTCCACGACACAGCACCAGCACCCAGGCTGAAGAAGTAACCCTGAGTCGAACGCTGAGTCTCCACGTCGTCAGCGTAGGAAGAGTCGCAGTGACCGGTCAACTCAACTTGCTGAGTCCCTCCAAGCACAAGCCCCATGCCTGATGTAGTCGCCAGATACTTCGCCACCCTCAAAGCAACTGTCCAGTGAATAGGACGGAGTCTCCCAGTTGCGACAAAGCGAGAGAGGACGCTGAGGGGAAAGGCGAGGTCCGGCCGAGTACAAGTCATCAGGTACATAAGGCAGCCCACAAGCTCTGCGTAAGGACCACTAGACTCAAAAGGCTCGTCGGGAAAGGGGCCAGTGAGTTTGTGGTCAAAAGCAAGAGGAGTGGGCTGGCTGGTGGAGAACTGAAACTCGTCCCGCCGAAGGACCTGCTGCACCATGTGTGACTGCGTCAGTGTGATGGTGCGAGCGGCTCTGTCCCTGGTGATCTGCAGGCCAAGGTAGCGCTGCAGTTCCCCGAGGTCAGTACACGTGTGTCTCTTCTGCAGTTTGGACTTCACCTCAGCCAGAGCCTGTCTGCTGTAGCAAAGACCAAGTCGTCGACGTAGACAAGTATAAAGAAAGGAGTGGAACCAGGGCGAACAAACAGCGACGGGTCGGCAGAAGACGGACGAAACCCAAGGTCACGAAGCGTGGAGCGAAGAGTGTCGTGCCACTCACGGGGCGGCTGGCGGAGACCGTAGACTGGTCGCCTCAGGCTCCACTGGGTCCCAGGTGGGAAGGTGTCAGTGAAGCCAGGAGGACGGCGCAGCCGGATCTCCTTGTAGGCGGCCCTGGAGAAACGCAGTGGAGAAGTCGAGGGAGTGCATCTCGTAGTCTCACTGTGCTGCTACGTGCAGTAATACCCGAAGAGTAGTCATCTTCGGGGTTGGGGCGAAGGTCTGGAAGAAGTCAACTCCCTCAGACTGACTGAAACCCCTAGCCACGTAGCGCGCCTTGAACACAGGCGGTGAACCAGGCGGCCGCTTCACCTTGAAGAGCCACATGCCATCGACAACGTTCACCCTGGGAGGGGGAACTGCGTCGACGTAGGTGCCTGTGGATCTCCAAGACGCTAACTCTGAGTCCATAGCCGCTTTCCACTGAGAGGCCCACTCCCCTGACACTGCCTCACGGTACGTGCGAGGAGTCGGAATGTCAACGGCGTCGGGGTCTCCCTCAGGGGAAAGCAGCATGGCACGGAGAGAGGGAGAAGCGGCTGCCAAGAACTCCAGCTCAAACTGCCTGTCCTCTAGGACGTCACAGCCAAAGGCAAACTCACCCCCGGCGGACAGAGGAAGGGCAGGCGGAGCAGCCAATACACGCGTGGCGAAGTCAAGCGGCGGGTGGAAGCAAAGTCAGCGACAGCGGCAGTAAGAGCCGAGACAGATGAAGGAGAGGCACGAGGGTCGGTGACAACAGAGGCGAGAACACGCGAGAAAACAGGACGAGCAACACGGTAGTAGTCAGTGATAGGGTGGGAGGAGACAGTGAGAGACGACGCAGGGGGTGGCGGCAGAATAGACACAAGTTGAGCACGACGAGGACTAGAACGAAACAGGACAGTGCGGAGGTCGTCAAAAGGAGACGAGGGACGAGCACGCGGAGGACAACAAGTGGTACAGTCGTGCGGGAGAACAGGAGGTGGCGACTGTGACTGAGGAGGAGAGAAAACAGCCGGAGTCGAGTCCGGAGGAGGAAACGTAGGGCCGTACATGGTAGGAGACTGTGAGTGGACAGGAGGAGAGGAGGGAAGACCAAGGGCCCGAAAAACACTCACTGGTGGGAACAGCTGCTGCAAAAGTGGAGGCTGCGGCGAACGCTGCTGCTGCTGCGGCGAACGCTGCTGCTGCTGCGGCTGCTGCCGCCGCTGCTGCTGCTGCTGCCGCCGCTGCTGCTGCTGCTGCTGCTGCTGCTGCTGCTGCTGCTGCTGCTGCTGCTGCTGCTGCTGCTTCTGCTGCTGCTGCTGCTGCTGCTGCTGCTGCTGCTGCTGCTGCTGCTGCTGCTGCTGCTGCTGCTGCTACTGCTGCTGCAGCTGCTGCTCCTGCTGCTGCTGCTGCTGCTGCTGCTGCTGCTGCTGCTGCTGCTGCTGCTGCTGCTGCTGCTGCTGCTGCTGCTGCTGCTGCTGCTGCTGCAGCTGCTGCTCCTGCTCCTGCTGCTCCTGCAGGTTCAACTGCCGCAGCCTCTCCTGCTCCAACCGCTCCTGCTCCTCACCCTCACATCGGCGAGCCGCCTGGAGACGTGTGTCGTGGCGGTGGGGAGGCGCAGTAGTTGTGCCTCCAGCTCCTGTCTCCTCGGTACTAGCACCTCCAGTGCCAGTACCTCCTGCTCCAGCACCCCCAGAATTAGCACCTCCAGTGCCAGCACCTCCAGCTCCAGCACCCCCAGAACTAGCACCTCCAGTGCAAGCACCTCCAGCTCCAGCACCCCCCGAACTAGCACCTCCAGTGCCAGCACCTCCAGCTCCAGCACCCCTCAAAAGAGCACCCCCAGAACGAGTACCTCCAGTGGCAGCACCTCCAGCTCCAACACCCACTGAGTCCACAGGAACCTGTCGCGGAAGTGCCGAAGGCTGCTAAGGGGACTATGAGGAGGACTGCGGGGAGGGAGACGCTACCTGACGCGCGACCGAGGGTAGAGGGGTAGCGTGAGACACACCTGACGGGGCAGGACCAGGGGGGGGCGGGGGTACTAGAGGAGCGGGAGCAGGAGGAGAGGGTGCGAGGAAAAGGGGAGGGGGGGGAACCGGGAGACCTCGACAGGGGTAGCGAGCGTAGTAGGACACCGACTCGTCAAACCGGGCATCACGGGAGTCGAGGAATTGGTGGAGGAGCGGGTGGTAAAAGGCGTAGTCGGGAGAGTCCACCGGGAAACCAAGGAAGACACAGGGGATGGCACGAACCGAGAGCTTGTCCGCAGAGGTGTCGCGGACAAGCGCAACGCAGCCCCAGACACGAAAGGCCGACCCAACACCAGGGGACCTGGTCCAAAGACTGGTCGGTGAAGCCTCTGACCGCGAGACACGTGGCTGGAGGTTTAGCTGGTGGGCGGCGTAGCGAACCGCGTAGGGCCACAGAAAATGGGGCGCACGGGCATGGATCATGGACGTGCGGGCGATGTCCATGACCAAGCCAATGCGGCGCTCAGCAACCCCATTCTGCTGTGGGGACTCCGGAAGCGTCCACTGTGAGATGCCCTGTTTGCCGCAGAATCCGCGAAGAATGCCGGAGCGAAACTTGCCCCCATGGTCAGAGTGGAGACAGGAGACACGACGACCACGAGTGCCCTCAGTGGCCAGAAGCCACCGGATCAGCGTAGAAGTGACCTCGGACTTCTTCGCGAGAGGAAACACCGTGGTTTACCTGGAGTAGTCGTCGACGACCACCAGAAAGTAGCGCTCCCTCTTAGGTCCCTGCGTAGGGGCAGGGCCCCAGACGTCCAAGTGGAGAGTCTGGAAGGGAGCAGTGGCCGGACGAAAGGAGGAGGAGTGCGAAGGGCGATGCAAGGAGTGCACGGCGGTGCAGGCGAGGGAGGGAGCAACGCAAAGACGCGATGGAGACCCGAGACAAGACGGTGACTAGCCATGCTGCGGAGGCGTGGGATCGACGGGTGGCCAAGACGGTGGTGCCACAAGACGGTCAGGTGGGCGAGAGACCGACAGGAGCAAGACGCAGCAACCTGACCAGACGCAGCAACCTGTCTAGACACAGCAACCGGAGAGGACGCAGTAACCTGACCGGACTCTGCTACCTGGGGGGACGCAGTAACCTGGCCGGACTCTGCTACCTGGTGGGACGCAGTGTGCAAAACGAAGAGACCTGAGTGGGGATCTTTGGTGAACGTGGCAAGAAGTGCCCCGGTGGAAGCATCCGTACAGATCGCCGTCCTCCCCTGCGCAGGAAAAGTGACTGTGATCCAACACCCACCAAGTTCCGAGAGAACGAGGGGATGTAGAGACCAGTGAGGAAACCAGAAGGGACAGCCGGGCACGGGAGAGTGGTCGAGCTGCGAGCGACTGCTGGTACTGAAGTAGGATCAGCCAGGGCAATTGGGACTGGAGTCGAAAGAGGTGTGATAGTGGTGTGGTCGCGAAAGAAGCACTGAGACGCGCCTGCGTCCAGCGTGAAGGAGAGCGACGCGACAGCAGCCGTCACGGCTGGACTAGTGACTACACAAGCACCTACACTAAAAGCACAAGTACCTACACTAGCAACAGGCAAGGGTCCTAAGCTAGGTACACGCAAGCCAAGAGATCCATACGTGACAGAATAAGAAGCATCCATAGACATATCAAACACAGGGTAACCATTACGAGACAGACCGGGCCAGATCGGTGGCCTCGACCCAGGCCCAAAACGCTCACGGTATAGGTCGTTGAGGCGGCTATAGCGGCGCTGTGCATAGTGGTCAGGACGCCAGCAGGTAGTGCCAGCACCAGGGCCAGTCAAGATCCGGTACTGGCAGGGGCCGACGTCGCGGCCACCGCGACGAGCCCTCCAGCTGGCTGGGCTGCTGCTGCAGCCAACGCTACCCGAACCACCAGGCCCCCACGGGTGCTGAGGGCGCCACTACTGCTGAGGGCGCCACTGCTGCTGAGGGTGCCATTGCTGCTGAGGGCGCCACTGGTGCTCAGGTTCCCACTGCTGGAACTGCCGCTGCTGCTGTCCCTGCTGCTGGAGAACTCTGTTGGACGCCATGGTGAAGGCTAGCGAGGTGCTAAGAGCGACTTGAGCTAGGAGCGAGGAGTGAGAACAACTAGGAGCGCCGGGTGAAACTAGGCGAGGAACGGCCGGAGCACTGAGCAATCTGAGCTAGAAGCGACTGGAACGAGGAACGGCTGGAGTGAGGCACGGCAGGAGCGAGAAATGTCAGGCTAGAAACTATGAGCTCGAGGAGCGGCTGGAGCGAGGAGCGAGAACAGCTAGGAGCGCAAGGTGAAACTAGGCGAGGAACGGCCGGAGCACGGAGAAAACTGAGCTAGAAGCGACTGGAGCTGGAACGGCTGGAGTGAGGAACGGCCGGAGCTAGAAACGGAAGGCTAGAAACTACGGGCTCGAGGAGCGGCTGGAGCGAGGAGCGAGAACAACTAGGAGCGCCAGGTGAAACTATGCGAGGAACGGCCGGAGCACGGAGCGAGAACAACTAGGAGCGCCAGGTGAAACTAGGCTAGGAACGGCCGGAGCACGGAGCGAGAACAACTAGGAGCGCCAAAGGTACACTACGACTAGGAGTAGCGGCCTCCAGCCGCGGCGGAACGGTGAACCCAGTGAAGGAACGGTAGGGAACGGGAAAACCGACGGTGAGAAAGCCCGAGAACGGCTTGCTACGGGCCGTGGCGCGCTAGATGGCCTGTGGGCGGCTGTGGGGGGGGCCTTGGGGGCGGCTATGAAGGCCTGTGGGCGGCTGTGAAGGCCTGTGGGCGGCTGTGAAGGCCTGTGGGCGGCTGTGAAGGCCTGTGGGCGGCTGGATGGCGTGCGCTACTCTACTGAGTGGCGTGCACTGTTCTGCAGGGGCGCGGGCTGCTCTGCAGGGTGGCGCGTGTTGTTCTGCAGGGGCGCGGGCTGCTCTGCAGGGTGGCGCGTGTTGCTCTGCAGGGGCGCGGGCTGCTCTGCAGGGTGGCGCGTGTTGCTCTGCAGGGGCGCGCGCTGCTCTGCAGGGGCGCGCGCTGCTCTGCAGGGGCGCGCAGGCGACGCGCGGGCTAGGGGCTAGTCACGCGGGCTACGCGCGGGCTAGGGGCAGGGCGCACGGGCGACGCGCAGGCTAGGGGCTAGTCACGCGGGCTACGCGCGGGCTAGGGGCAGGGCGCACGGGCGACGCGCAGGCTAGGGGCAGCGCGCGCTAGGCGAGAGCACGGGGCGTAGGCGCGGGCTAAGTGCGCAAAACGGGCTAGGAGGGAGGGGGGGGGGAAACGAGGGCGTGAGGCGCCACGGCGGAGCGGACGGAGCGAGCGAGCGCTAGGAGGAACGGACGGAGCGGGCTAGGCGAGGCTAGGCTAATCAACGAACCTCATGATACCATCTCAAGAAGTACGCACAACGGAATGATTGCATTAGGGTTGGGAAGCAATACAAGTAGCAACCCTAACTGAGTTGTACTCTCTAGGGAGTACCTCACTGCAGCCTATAACAATTATATGCATTTGACAAAGAGCATCAACATAAGCTAACCAAAAGCAGCCGAATCTAGCCAATGATTCTCACTTTCTTAAACTTCCCACAGGCTGCGCTTTCAGTCCCCCCCGTGTAACCAACCCGAAAGTATTTGCCCTTTTCCAAAAAAAACGCTACCAGCATATGCCCTTGAGCCTTAGTTGCCACTGGTGCTTCCGATCTGCCTTGGAAGCTGTACCCCTTGCTGCGACCTCCCTTGGGACTTGTGATGTTACGAAGGATGATGCCGCTTCCATAGTCACCCGCAGTGCAGGAAGGGCCGTAATTTGAGATATCAGGAACGGCACCACTCGGTTTCAGCTTCAAGACGGTGACGGACATAACGAAATTGAAGGATGTTGCTGAATACCTGCCAACGGGGAATAGAGGGAGATGATCATGAGAGATAGGAAAGAGGAGGGGGTGGTGGGGTTGCGGTTGAGAAAGGAGGAGGAGGGGGGGAAGCAGAGTGAAGGCAGGTGGAAGCGTAATGTGGGACCTGGTCCACTTCTCTCGGGAGTGGTGGCAGGTCCCCTTGGGACTGGTCCTTGATTCTTCATGCCAGTAAAGAGTGCAAGAAAATTGGAGTTCCTATCAATCCTGAATGATAAAAAGGAAGAACAACAGCATCAGCGGGTACAAATACTACGCACCTTTGCAGATTCCCCTCACTACGCACCTTTGCAGATTCCCCTCACTACGCACCTCACTACGCACCTCACTACACACCTCAGTACACACCTCACTACACACCTCACTACACACCTCACTACACCTCACCACGCACCTCACTACTCGCCTCGCGACTACGCATAACAAGGAACAACAGCAGCAGCAGCAGCAGCAGCAGCGGGAGCTACAACCACGCACCTCACGACCTTCATGACCATTTTTCCCGATGCACCTTTGCAGCCGACCACTTTCCCGTTGACCACAGTAGGTCTCAACTTCGCCACGTACTTTTCTGGCAACGGAAACGGCAGGTAAAGGGGCACATGAAAAACAAGCTTCACCAAGTAGTGTCGACCTGAATGTGACCCGGAGTTAACGAAAACGGTTACTCTCAGGTGGAATCTCAGGGTCACATTTGGGACATACTTGTGTGGTTGAGGCAGTGGCTTTTAGGGAAGCCTTACAATGCAGTAACCCCGCTGAACTTTGAACGAGGTGGTTCAGATCGGTGAAGCTGCACCTGCTGCTGCTGCTACTGAGAATTCTCAAAAGCGACTCATCGTTTTCTGCTGCTACTGAGAATTCTCAAAAGCGACTCATCATTTTCTGCTGCTACTGTGAATTCTCAAAAGCGACTCATCATTTTCTGCTGCTACTGTGAATTCTCAAAAGCGACTCATCATTTTCTGCTGCTGATGGAGGTAGTAGCAGTAGGGAACACCACTGCTGACACCAAAGAACTGTGCAGTGCAGTGCGGTGCGGCACAGGGGCAAAGAGAACTGCAGACTCACCCACAGTCTTCCCTTTCCGCGCCAAAGGCTCGGCAACCTGACTCGTGGCCGCGGAAGCAACCTGACTCGCGATCGCTGCTGACTCCACGGGCGCGGATGATGACTTTTGTGGCGCCTCAAAAGACGCTGACTCCACGGGCGCGGATGATGAAGCACTGCCGGCGACGCGTGCCGCGACGAATGGAGGAGTGACCGACGCAGACGCGGAGACAGTGAGCAACGCCGCACCTGGTGGCAGGGGAGCATCATGCCGTGATCATGTGGGAATAATCAGGGCCGCGGAAACAGCAAACGCTGTACCAGCAAGCGCTCATCATAGCGGCTCCTTCAATATCAAAGGACCGGTAGCACGTGGGGCAAGAGGTGAGGTGACACTGCCATAATTTCAGGACCCGCTGCTGCCGTCATCCTGCACAAAGGCCAAAGAGATTGGATGTTTGCTCAGCTGTTGGTCGTCCCTAGCACGTCAGCCAAGGGGTATTGCAGACACTGCGCAGATATCCCCACCGCTGCTGCTCCTCCTGCTGCAGCAGGGGGGGTGGAAGGAAAGAGGGGAAGGGGGTGGAGGGAAGGTGAGGGCAGTAGTAGCCGTTGATAGCAGCCCTTTCATTAATAATTGCCTCAAGGTCGGTGGGTGGCAGCGCACGTGTTTGAACCCGCCGGTGGCGATTCAGTTGGTGTCTGTCCGCTCAGCTGTTGGTCACCCCCAGCACGTCAGCCAAGGAGTATTGCAGGCACCGTGCAAGCTCCCTCATATTTCCGCTGCTGCTGCTGGAAAAGCAGGGTGGGGGGTGCGGAATACGTGCAACAGTAACGAGAGCGACACTTTGAAGCCTGTAGCCGTCCTGCCCGGCTGCTGGCCGCCCCCAGCACCGTCTGCCAAGGGGTAGTAGTGCTGGCACTGGCACGGACTGCAGGCTCACTGATATCCCGCCGCTGCTGCTGCTGGGGGAGGGACGTGGTGGGGGGAGAGAGCATCACTAAATGCCTCAAGATCTATGGCACATCAGCCAAGGGTTAGAAGAGCTGGCACTGCAGGCTCACTGATATCCCCACCGCTGCTGCTGCTGGGGGAGGGACGTGGTGTGGGGGGGGGGGGGGGGGGGGGGAGGGGTGTGGAGAAGGTGAGAGAGCGGCTTCCTCAAATGGGGGGAGGATGGGGGGGAATGGCGGGGAATGGGGATAACGGAAACGGCCAACCTGACACCGGGGAAAGGCATGGCAATGGCACGTGGTCACCGCGTGACATCATGCGTCAATACCACAGACATACATATCACGGTGGCATGAGACAGAACAACCGTTATTCTAGATCTAGTGACTAGACGTAGTAGTAAAATGAGCAAAAGGTACTAGAAGTGATTTATAGAGCAGACTTTTGAGGCGCGACTCAAGTAGAGCGAAAAGGAACTGCTAGCAGGAGTGCTTACAGGGCAGAGTCAATTCAAAAGTAAAAGGCTCTTAACTAGGAGTGCTTACAGAGGACGAAGAGAGGTGTCGCGCGTCGCTCCATGGTAGCAGGTTCAAGGTTTAGCCGCATCTCGAGAGGAAGGGTGAAAGTTTGTCCTTTTGAGGGCGGGTCCAGCGCGTTCGTCCTTCGTTCGTTCTGTGCGGTTACTCTTTGTTGTGTCACGGTGCAAAACGGTTAAGCTTGAGAAACCTCTGTGCACCGCCTGGAATCGTCTTGCGCCACGACGGATGAACTGAAAACGATCGCGCTGGACCCGCCCTGAAATGAGAAATCTGGTACAGACTAGAGATAATCTATAATGCAGGCCCTGCATAGATAATCTATAATGAAAATCTGGTACAACAGCTGCGAAGGTATGGATAGAACTCCCGAATGGGGGGGAGGGGGGCTCGTTGCTCCGGCGGCGGCGACTGTACTACCACCAACATGATCGCGGCTCGGGCAGCTGCCAGCTTCGGGAAGCTGGACCAAGCCAGCTTCGGGAAGCTGGGACCAAAGCTGCCAGCTTCAGGCGTTCAGGCTCGGATGATGACATGGCACGCGCAGCACCAGGAACCCTTGAAGTTCAGAAGCTCGCACTTGTAGGTTTATGATGACCCAGAAAGCGCACCAGAAGCTCACATGGATGCGTGCATGCGGAGGAAATGACGGAGTGCCGTGTTTTCTAGTTTCCAATTCCAATGGGCAGTGGTTTTGGCAGCGCATCGCTCCACGCTCGCGTCCAATACCTTGGGCCATATTATTTCTCCGTTTCCCCTTTTGAGTCCACAAATACGGATCGTTTTTATGTTACGGGATATTCCAAATCGATTCGTCGAGTCCATGCAAGCACGCAGCTCGGGACAAAAAAATAAAACCCTCATGGATGGTATGCCACGTATAGGGCATCAAGCTTAAACACCATGAGGCAAGGTGTTTAGGGTTGATGCCTCCCAAATGGCTTGTCATCCGAGTGGATTTTAGTTTTGCCACTGGCCTCTATACTGAAACCAGGTAGACTCAATAATTGCCCTTCTATAAGTTTGGTCACGAAAAATGGGAAATAGCAATATAAACTGCCCGCGGGAATTGGGCGCGAGCGCGGAGGGAGTCGCTGTCAAAGCCACTGCCGAAAGGAATCGAAAACGCGCAAACACGGCGGTCCGTCATTTCCTCGTGCATGCGCGTGCTGAGAAGACACTCGGACGGACTATCTAAACGAGCGTCGACTGCCCGACAACGGCACAGGCTGCAGGCCGACGACAAAACACAGACGCTGCGATTAGCTGGCATGAATTATTCCCTTCTTTTCCAGCAAAACACGAAAAAGCTAACCAAAAACGGGAAAGAGTACTTGCGTGGTAATCCCATAATTAGGTTAGTTTCCTACTAACTGGTACGCGATTGACGAGAAAATGTTCTTTCCCGAAACAAAAAAGTGTGTACAAAAAAGCCTGACCACCACCAACCACGCATGTTCCGTGCACGGTGTGTTAGCGTTCTCGTCACATGGTGTCGCAAGTTCGGTTGGGATTCTGGTCGCATGTGTCGCAGTGGGTAGTCTCTCTCCTTGAGTGGTGTAGATGAGCCTGAAAACCAGGTGGCGATATCTGAGTGGTCGTAAGAAACAGCACCACGTCCATTTCAAATTACAGTACAGTTCAGTACAGTAACCCCGACCATCTAATATCTCTCTCGGGTCGGATCGGGTCGGGAGTCTATCAACCTGCACGAAGCAGTGGTGGGAGGAAAGTCGTGATTACTGTACTGTATCGCAAACCAGCGCTCTGTGGCTGCAGAACATCGCCAGTGTGCTTTCGCCGATGCGCAGTGTGGGACCATTTCCAGAATCCTCACCCCTCTGTCCTCGTCTTTGCACGGTTCATTCTCGGTTCGGTATAAGAGTTCAACAGTTTCTGGTTGAAGGTCTCGATCATCCATAGCAGAATTTATCCGAATTTATCCCAAATTCTACAATCTGCGGATCCAGATCGTAGAAGCGCCATGCGCGACTTTCACGGGAAAAGGTCCCGAGAAGCTGTAGCGTGGAGCGGAGAGGCAGCAGGAGCAGGAGCGAGAGGGCCAAATGGGGCGGCCGGAAACGCCACGGAAGCAATTCCGTTTCCTGGGCGCTACGTGTCGAAACGGGAGCGGCTGAGGTTGGACGGGCGGAAAAATAATCTATCCACTCACGGGCAGCTACTCAATAAAGATGCGGGGGAGACTGTTGCGCGGGAAACCACGTACGGCGGGGGAGCCCCCCTCCCGGACGCGCCTGGCTGGAAACGAAACGCGGGTATTGAGACGTTTCATAACGCGTACGGCGGGGGAGCTCTCCCGAATGCGCCTGACTGGATCCGACATGCAGAGGCTGAGCAGGAAGGCGCTGCTGCTGCGCGATTCGTTACGCCGCGGCGCCTCATGTGCCGGTGAGTTTGACCTTCCCCTTCCCCCCTCCCGCTTCCCCCCTCCCGCTTCCCCCCTCCCGCTTCCCCCCTCCCGCTTCCGCGAAGGCGAAACAAAATCGCCGCGGTGCCTGATGTGCTGGTGAGCTTTCTCCTTTTCCACCCTCCCCAAACCTCCTCCCCCTCCCTCCCTCCCAACACTCCCAACCCAACTCCCCATCTCTCCAGACCCCCCTACCTCCCCAATTCTCCCCCTATGTTCCCATTCATACGTTGCTTGTTTCCATGAAATTTTCCCCGTTTGCCCCCTATCTCCCCCTATCTCCCCCTATCTCCCCCTATCTCCCCCTATCTCCCCCTATCTCCCCCTATCTCCCCCTATCTCCCCCTATCTCCCCCTATCTCCCCCTATCTCCCCCTATCTCCCCCTATCTCCCCCTATCTCCCCCTACCTCCCCTTATTTCCCCTTATCTCCCACTGACTCCCACTATCCCCTTATCTTTCTTGGATTTTCCTCCCATTTCCTCCTATCTCCCCAACTTCCCCTCATCTCCCCTTATCTTCCACCCCCCATCTCCCCATATCTCCCCACTTTCCTCCCAATCCCCCAGGATCCAGTCAGCCCACTCACGCCCTGCCACGTGTGTCAGGTGGTCCCCACAGTACGGCCATCTGCTGACGTCAGCAGGGATGGATGGGGCAGTCAAATTGTGGATTCCTTTCGAAGAAAGCCCAGGAGAACGGGCAGATTCTGTGAAAAAATCTCCTCTCTGCCCGGTTAGGGTGTTTGATGGTCACCGGGCAGCAGTGAAAGACTCGTCGTGGACAAACGATGCCGCCCGGCTCCTGACAGCCAGCTTGGATGCTACAGTGCGAGTTGCTGACGTGGAATCAGGAGATACAGTAGCAGAGGTGCGTCAGGGCGGCGCCATGTCAGTTTGCCGCCCGGATCCTTCCAACCCACAGATGCTCGCCACAGGAGGGGATTTTCGGGTCGGTAGTGTGAGATTCTGGGATATGCGAATGCTGGGAGGTGCGAGTAGCGGGCAAAGTGACTGCAACAAAAAGGATAGTAACGAGATATTAAATGGAGGCAGCTTGTCCAATCACAGCAGCAGCACAGCAGCTGCGTTTTCTGAACCGTCCAACCCTGTGCTGGAGTTCTCAATGGACGGTGGAGATCTTCTCGATCTTGCCTTTGATCCATCTGGATCGTTCATGGTGACGTCAGCAGATTGCACGCGGGCAAGGGGCCTTGATAAGGGGCTGAAAGTGTGGGATGTGAGAAAGGCAGTATCGGTATCAAATCAGATCTACATGGAAGGATACACGTGTCCGTCAGTTGCCATCCACCCATCTGGATCGCACTTTATCGCTCAATCCAATGGCAGTTACATCGCGATATTTTCCTGTACACCTCCGTATAAGCTGAATAAATATAAGAGGTTCGAGGGGGGTCATGAAGTTGGGGGTTATGCTGTAAGCTGCAGTTTCTGTTACAATGGGAATGTAGTTGTATCCGGTTCGGCGGATGGAGAGGTAGTGTACTATGATTGGAAAAGAGGATGTTGTATAGGAGAAGTGGCAGCTCACAAAGGGGTATGTAGTGTAGCTGATGCGCACCCTGTCCTGCACTGTGTTGTTGCATCATGTGGCTGGGATGGGGATGTGTGTATTTGGACAGGAAGCAATGGCACTAGGAGGCTGTAAACATTGTTAGCAAAGCATAACATTGGAATGTGACTTTGCAGTTATGATTCTTCAATTTGCAATCAGTTGAGAATGTAGTGTAGTGTAGCTGCTTTGGCTGGTGAGGTCCTACCTACAGCACTTCAATCAAGAAGCAAGCTCTTTATAACAGCACATAATTGCAACGTGTGTGCGTGGCACCTGTTGCTGCTGGGCTGTGTGGGTGGCAGTGGCATGCCAGCAGTAGTCTACAAATTGTCGGTGTGTGTGCGGAGCCCCTAGAGCTTGTATGCTGAACGAAGGTGTTGCAGAGTGGTCCCGTATGAGTGGCAGTGGCATGCCTAGTGCATACCAGCAGCAGCCTCTCACATGTTGGTCAATTCGAGAAGTGCCTAGAGCTTGTACACTGAGCGCAGCTGCTGCACGGTGGTATGAGTGGCAGCGGCGGGGGTGGACGCAGCAAGAGCTTCGCCCCACAGCTTGGACAGACCTGGGAGGCAGATGCAGATGGGGTGAAGGGGAAAGAGAGGGAGAAGGATACGAAGATGGGGCGTCTAGAGCTTGTACGATGCGCGCAGGTGGTGCAGAGTGGTGCAGAGTGGTGTCGGTGGCAGTGGCAGGGGTGGAAGGAGTAAGAGCTTCGTCTCACAGCTTGGACAGACCTGGGAGGCAGACGCAGATGGGGTGAAAGGAAGGTAGAGAAAGAGGGAGGTTAAAAGCTCAGCGTAGGTGTTGTAGGGTTGTCTGGGTGGCAGTGGCATGGGTGGACGTAGCAAGAGCTTCATCGCACAGCTTGGCCAGACCTGGGAGGCAGACGCAGAGCAGACGGGGTGAAGGAAAAGGAGAGGGAGAGGGAGGTTGTGAGCTGAGCGCAGGTGGTGCAAGGTTGTGCAAGTGGCAGTGGCAGGGGTGGAAGCAGAGAGGGCGTGATTTCACCAAAGTTGTGAGACTCACGTTGCTTGTCAGCGGCAGGCATGCAGACGAGGAGGATGGGGAAGTGCGGCACAGAAGGGAAGGCGGAGAGCAGAGCCACCAGACACGCTCTATCAGCTTACATCACTCTCAGCACTCTCTGGACTCATCGCACTCACGTTGCTTGTCAGCAGCAGGCATGCACACGAGGATTATGGGGAAGCGCGGCACAGAAGTAACAGCAGAAAGGCACCACTCTCTGCACTGCGTGTGAGACTCACGTTGCTTGTCAGCGGCAGGCATGCACACGAGGAGGATGGGAAAGCGAGGCACAGAAGGGAAGAGATGGAGCAGAGCCACGAGGCACACACTAACAGCTGTCAGCACTCTCTCAACACTTCCAACACTCTCAGCAGTCAGAGCAGCCACCAGACTCACGTTGCTTGTCAGCAGGAGGCATGCAGACGAGGAGGATGGGAAAGCGCGGCACAGAAGGGAAGGCAGAGAGCAGAGCCACTAGGTACACATGATCAACCCACAGCAATCTGAGCACTCCCAAAACTCACGATATTTGTACTACCTGTGAGACTCGCGTTGCTTGTCAGCGGGAGGCATGCACACGAGGAGGATGGGGAAGCGAGGCACAGAAGGGAAGGTGGATAGCAGAGATACTAGGCACGCACTATCAGCTCACAGTACTGACTGCACTCTCTGCACTCTCAGCAGTCATCCAACTCACGTTGCTTGTCAGCGGGAGGCATGCACACGAGGAGGATGGGGAAGCGCGGCACAGAAGGGAAGGCAGAGAGCAGAGCCACTGCTGCTGGGGCATCCGTGCTGGGAGGGAGAGAGGGCGAGGAGGGGAAGGAAGGGGAGAGAAGGGCGTGAAGAGAGGGCAGGAAGAGACGGGTGTGAGGAGAGGGCAGGAAGAGAGGGGTGTGAGGAGAGGGCAGGAAGAGAGGGGTGTGAGGAGAGGGCAAGAAGCAGAGCCAGTGGTGCTGTGCCATCCGTGTGAGAGAGAGAGAAAGAGGGAGGGTGAGGCATGCAAGTGGAAGAGAGTGAGTCGATAAAGAAAAGAGAGAAGATATGAAGGCTTTTGAGATGCTGGCAAAGAGAGGGCATGCATGGATGCAGCAGGAGAGGAGAGATGGAGATATGCGTGCAATCAGATGAGAAGATATGAAGCATTGCAGGGCACTGGATTGTTGGAGCTGGCAGGGCAGCCCATGGTGGAGAACTGCATTGCTGGATACAACAGCACCCTATTTGCCTATGGCCAGGTGCTCCCTCCACCAGGTGCGCCCTCCCCTCCTTCCCAGGTGGTGCACCTGGGGGAGGGCGCACCTGGCCATAGGCGAATAGGGTGGTGTTGTATCCGACAATGCAGTTCTCTACCATGGGCTGCCCTGCCAGCTTGACCGACCCAGTGCCCTGCCAGCTCGACCAACCCAGTGCCCTGCCAGCTCGACCAACCCAGTGCCCTGCCAGCTCGACCAACCCAGTGTCCTGCCAGCTCGACCAACCCAGTGCCCTGCCAGCTCGACCAACCCAGTGCCCCGCCAGCTCGACCAACCCAGTGCCCTGCCAGCTCGACCAACCCAGTGTCCTGCCAGCTCGACCAACCCAGTGCCCTGCCAGCTCGACCAACCCAGTGCCCTGCCAGCTCGACCAACCCAGTGCCCTGCCAGCTCGACCAACCCAGTGCCCTGCCAGCTCGACCAACCCAGTGCCCTGCCAGCTCGACCAACCCAGTGCCCCGCCAGCTCGACCAACCCAGTGCCCTGCCAGCTCGACCAACCCAGTGTCCTGCCAGCTCGACCAACCCAGTGCCCTGCCAGCTCGACCAACCCAGTGCCCTGCCAGCTCGACCAACCCAGTGTCCTGCCAGCTCGACCAACCCAGTGCCCTGCCAGCTCGACCAACCCAGTGCCCCGCCAGCTCGACCAACCCAGTGCCCTGCCAGCTCGACCAACCCAGTGTCCTGCCAGCTCGACCAACCCAGTGCCCTGCCAGCTCGACCAACCCAGTGCCCTGCCAGCTCGACCAAACCCAGTGCCCTGCCAGCTCGACCAACCCAGTGCCCTGCCAGCTCGACCAACCCAGTGTCCTGCCAGCTCGACCAACCCAGTGCCCTGCCAGCTCGACCAACCCAGTGCCCTGCCAGCTCGACCAACCCAGTGCCCTGCCAGCTCGACCAACCCAGTGTCCTGCCAGCTCGACCAACCCAGTATCCTGCCAGCTCGACCAACCCAGTGCGCTGCCAGCTCGACCAACCCAGTGTCCTGCCAGCTCGACCAACCCAGTGCCCTGCCAACTCGACCAACCCAGTGCCCTGCCAGCTCGACCAAACCCAGTGTCCTGCCAGCTCGACCAACCCAGTGCCCTGCCAGCTCGACCAACCAAGTGCCCTGCCAGCTCGACCAACCCAGTGCCCTGCCAGCTCGACCAACCCAGTGCCCTGCCAGCTCGACCAACCCAGTGCCCTGCCAGCTCGACCAACCCAGTGTCCTGCCAGCTCGACCAACCCAATGCCCTGCCAGCTCGACCAACCCAGTGCCCTGCCAGCTCGACCAACCCAGTGCCCTGCCAGCTCGACCAACCCAGTGCCCTGCCAGCTCGACCAACCCAGTGCCCTGCCAGCTCGACCAACCCAGTGCCCTGCCAGCTCGACCAACCCAGTGCCCTGCCAGCTCGACCAACCCAGTGCCCTGCCAGCTCGACCAACCCAGTGTCCTGCCAGCTCGACCAACCCAGTATCCTGCCAGCTCGACCAACCCAGTGCGCTGCCAGCTCGACCAACCCAGTGTCCTGCCAGCTCGACCAACCCAGTGCCCTGCCAACTCGACCAACCCAGTGCCCTGCCAGCTCGACCAAACACAGTGTCCTGCCAGCTCGACCAACCCAGTGCCCTGCCAGCTCGACCAACCAAGTGCCCTGCCAGCTCGACCAACCCAGTGCCCTGCCAGCTCGACCAACCCAGTGCCCTGCCAGCTCGACCAACCCAGTGCCCTGCCAGCTCGACCAACCCAGTGTCCTGCCAGCTCGACCAACCCAGTGCCCTGCCAGCTCGACCAACCCAGTGCCCCGCCAGCTCGACCAACCCAGTGCCCTGCCAGCTCGACCAACCCAGTGTCCTGCCAGCTCGACCAACCCAGTGCCCTGCCAGCTCGACCAACCCAGTGCCCTGCCAGCTCGACCAAACCCAGTGCCTTGCCAGCTCGACCAACCCAGTGCCCTGCCAGCTCGACCAAACCCAGTGTCCTGCCAGCTCGACCAACCCAGTGCCCTGCCAGCTCGACCAACCCAGTGCCCTGCCAGCTCGACCAACCCAGTGTCCTGCCAGCTCGACCAACCCAGTATCCTGCCAGCTCGACCAACCCAGTGCGCTGCCAGCTCGACCAACCCAGTGTCCTGCCAGCTCGACCAACCCAGTGCCCTGCCAACTCGACCAACCCAGTGCCCTGCCAGCTCGACCAAACCCAGTGTCCTGCCAGCTCGACCAACCCAGTGCCCTGCCAGCTCGACCAACCAAGTGCCCTGCCAGCTCGACCAACCCAGTGCCCTGCCAGCTCGACCAACCCAGTGCCCTGCCAGCTCGACCAACCCAGTGCCCTGCCAGCTCGACCAACCCAGTGTCCTGCCAGCTCGACCAACCCAGTGCCCTGCCAGCTCGACCAACCCAGTGCCCTGCCAGCTCGACCAACCCAGTGCCCTGCCAGCTCGACCAACCCAGTGCCCTGCCAGCTCGACCAACCCAGTGCCCTGCCAGCTCGACCAACCCAGTGCCCTGCCAGCTCGACCAACCCAGTGCCCTGCCAGCTCGACCAACCCAGTGCCCTGCCAGCTCGACCAACCCAGTGTCCTGCCAGCTCGACCAACCCAGTGCCCTGCCAGCTCGACCAACCCAGTGCCCTGCTAGCTCGACCAACCCAGTGCCCTGCCAGCTCGACCAACCCAGTGTCCTGCCAGCTCGACCAACCCAGTGCCCTGCCAGCTCGACCAACCCAGTGCCCTGCCAGCTCGACCAAACCCAGTGCCCTGCCAGCTCGACCAACCCAGTGCCCTGCCAGCTCGACCAAACCCAGTGTCCTGCCAGCTCGACCAACCCAGTGCCCTGCCAGCTCGACCAACCCAGTGCCCTGCCAGCTCGACCAACCCAGTGCCCTGCCAGCTCGACCAACTCAGTGTCCTGCCAGCTCGACCAACCCAGTGTCCTGCCAGCTCGACCAACCCAGTGTCCTGCCAGCTCGACCAACCCAGTGCCCTGCCAGCTCGACCAACCCAGTGTCCTGCCAGCTCGACCAACCCAGTGCCCTGCCAGCTCAAGAAACCCAGTGCCCTGCCAGCTCGACCAACCCAGTGCCCTGCCAGCTCGACCAACCCAGTGCCCTGCCAGCTCGACCAACCCAGTGCCCTGCCAGCTCGACCAACCCAGTGCCCTGCCAGCTCGACCAACCCAGTGCCCTGCCAGCTCGACCAACCCAGTGCCCTGCCAGCTCGACCAACCCAGTGCCCTGCCAGCTCGACCAACCCAGTGCCCTGCCAGCTCGACTGGATTGCAGTCGAACCTTCTCAAAGCAGGCTCGACTACAGCTTTCCCACTTTGCCGTTGAATTAACTAAACAAAACACTTGTGAGTTGGTGTTCACCGGAAGAGCGTTGAAAGGATGATGGAGAGAACTGCCGCGAGAAGCGGCGGAGAGAGGGAGAGTGGGAAGCTTAGTTCGGAAAGACGCAGCTAGGACGCTGCGTCCTGCGTCCGGACGCAGCGTCCGGGCGCTAGGACGCAGGACGCGCGTACAGACGCAGGACGCACGTCGAAATTTTTTTCGGGCAGCCCGAAAAAAAAATTCGATCGCGATTTTGGCATTCGCGATTTCGACGCGAATGTCGAAATCGCGAAATTTCCCCACCCCAAGCCCAATTCGCCATTCAAAACCAGCCCCCCTAACAATCCCTAACAACTCAACCAAAATTGAATTTCACTCACACCTCTCAACCACTTAGTATCTACGAATCCCAACCTTTGTAGGCCACCACCACCAAGCACATTTAGCATGGCAACCTTTTCCGACGCCATTCGCAACTCAAAGGAAACGAAGATGACGTCGCGTAAGGATAAGGAGAGGGCTTTGGAGGAGGCGCTCACGGAAGTGGGCGGCCAAGGCGAAGCGGGTCCGAAGGCAAAGATCCGCCGGATGGAGGATTGGTATGGCGAGGGGGGGATGTCGGCGAAGCGTGCGGCAGACGATGCGATTTGCCTCTTCGTCGCGGGGACGCGCTCGGCGGAGAGGATTTGCGAGCACCCCCTCTTCCTCAACATGCTGCGCGCCGTTAGCGCCGCCGGTGGCGGCTACGTTCCGCCCAAGGTGGGCTACGTTGGAGGCGCCGGGTTGCTGGCGTGCAAGCAGCAGATTGAGAAGGGTTTGTCGCCCATTACGAAGTCGTGGAAGGAGACCGGCGTGACGATCGCCAGCGATATGATGAAGGACAAGAGCGGGCGCGCGCAGATGAACGTCGTCTTCATCAACGCCAGTGGAGCGGTTTTCCAGGAGGCTTTCGACTGTAAGGCGGAGACAAAGACTGGGGCGTTCATCGTGAGCGTCCTGCAGCCGCTGATCGAGAAGCTTGGACCGGAGCACGTCATCGCGATTTGCACGGACGGCGGCAGCAACTACGTGTCCGCCGGCAAGCTGCTGCAGAAGAAGTACCCGCACTTGGAGTTCGTCCCCTGCGCCACTCACGTGCTCGACCTGCTGTTGGAGGACTTCGGCGGCATGGATTGGGCGCAGGAGGTCGTGTCAGTTGCCACCGACATGATCGCGTTCCTGCGCAGCCACACGTGGACGCGTGCCTTCCTCCGGTGTCCCAAGCTGCACGGCGAGAAGAAGTCGCTGCAGCCGCTGCGACCGGCGGGCACACGATTTGGGACGCAGTACATTGCGGTTTCACGCCTTAAGGAGATTCGCCAGCACCTGGTGAACATGGTGACGCATACGGACTGGGCCGAGAAGGGGAGGAAGCAGCAGACTGGAACTACTTTTGAGAAGGCGGTGATGGATGTGGAGTGGTGGGGCAAGGTGGACACCTTCGTCAAGGTGATGGAGCTGCCGTACAAGTTGATGAGGAAGACGGATGGGCCAGCGAAGGGGATGATGGGGGCATTGTACGACATGATGCTGCAGCTGACGGTGGACCTGACGGAGCTGTTGGAGAGGGCGGATTGTGGGCTTGAGGAGTCGGATAAGGAGGATTTGCTGGAGCATTTGAGGAGGCGATGGGATGAGAGTTTGGCCTGCCCTCTTCACGTGGTAGGCCGGATTCTTAACCCGGTCAACCAGGAGGAGGGGATCTACGACAGAGAGTGCACCAGGGTGATGAAGGCGTGGCTGCAACGCTCGCGGGCCTTCGTCGACAAGTATTGGAAGAAGGACGGCGAGCGGGAGGGAACGATGTTGGCGCTGCAGGAGGGGATGTTGGCGTACATTGAGGGGAGGGGGGGGGTTTGGGTCGGAGGAGGCGGTAGCGGGCCGTGCGCAGCTGAAGGAGGGGAAGGGGGACATGGCGGCGTGGTGGAAGGTGAATGGCTGGGAGTACCCTGAACTGGCAGGCCTTGCGCGCCGTGCGGTGTCACAGGCCGTTTCCGCCTCTCCATGCGAGCGGGGATGGTCTGTGTGGGATGGGGTGCACACGGCGCGCAGGAACAGGCTTGGGTCGGAGAAGGTGCGCGACCTGGTGTTCGTGGCGCACAACTGGCCGGTTGTGCACGGCCACCACCAGGGCGCAGCTGGTGGAGCAGGGCCAAGTGGGGAAGTGAGGAGGGCGGGGGTGGTGGAGGGTAACATTCCCACCCCTCCCCTCCCCAAGGGATACAAGTTGGAGGAGGACGGGGAGAGGGAGGTGGACGAGGACGACCCGGCAGTCGACGAGTACAAGGACCAGGAAGCGATGGACGAAGAGGAGGAGAAGGAGAGCGAGGATGATGGGGATGCGTGATGGTTGACTAGAGATGCAGTGCAGTGGTAGTTTAGTATGCATGGTCGTAAGTGGTTGGATTAAACGTAATGTGTGTGAGACCTTGTGAAATGTGTGACACGTGACTCACCTTAATCTCAAAGTTTGGGGGAAAATTCTGTGGTTGGGGAAAATTTTGTGGTATGACACCCCCCCCCCCCCTCTCCCAAGCCCTATACAAATTTTTTTGGCCTGCCCGGGGGTTTTTTTTGCCCTGCCCGGGCTTGCGTCTTTTGGTGCGTCTTACAGGTCCAGGGTCAGCGTCCTGCGTCTGGACGCATGCGTCCAGGACGCAGGACGCGTCTTTCTGAACTAAGGTGGGAAGGGAACAGGGGGGAAAGAGGCGGTGGGGCAGGCATTACCTGAAGAGAGTTGAAAGGATGATGGAGAGCACTGCAGCGAGGAGCGGCGGAGAGAGCGAGTCCTTGAAGATGGTTGAGAGGCGGGCAGGCGGGAGGGACTGCAGAGGGGGGGAGGGGTGGGAGAGAGCATGAGCGAGAGGATGGGAGAGAATGAGATGGAGCAAGAAGGGAGGTGAGAGGCAGGCAGGCGGGGAGGAACTGGAGGTGTGGGGGGGAGGCATTAGGAACACACGAAGGAGGGACAGCACGGGATGGAGTGAGAGGGGAGGTTAGCAGCAGGCAGAGAGGAGAGGCGGGAGAGTGAGTCCTTGAAGATGGTCAACAGATGGGCAGGCGGGAGGGGCTGTTGGGCAGGCGGGAGGGGCTGTTGGGCAGGCGGGAGGGACTGCGGGTGTGGGGGAGGAGCATTAGGAGGAACACAGGAGGGAGGGACTGTTGTGGGGTCGAGCGGCACAGCACAACAAGGACTCTCCACACCTCCAGTAGCAATAATAGCAGGGAGGGAAGCGGAGGGAGCTAGAGACGGAGGAGTGAGAGTGGAGGAGGAGAGTGGAGGAGTGAGAGTGGAGGAGCGAGAGTGGAGGAGTGAGAGTGAAGGAGTGAGAGTGGAGGAGGAGAGTGGAGGAGGAGAGTGGAGGAGTGAGAGTGGCGGAGTGAGAGTGGCGGTGGGGGAGAGTCCTTGAAGATGATTGACAGGCGGGCCGGAGGGAGGGACTGCAGAGGGGAGAGGAGAGGGGGGGGGGGGGGGAGAGGGGAGACGGGAGAGGGGGAGTAACGAAAAACAGCGATTTTCAGCAAAAGGAGCGAGGGAGCGGCTGAGCCTCCTCCCGTTCTCAATGTGACATGCCACTCACCTTCACCTGTCCGTTCCACTCACTACCCACCTTGAACAATGCTGCAACGCAGCCTGTGCATCCTACCTTAGCATGCCTGACGTAAGCTGTCAAGTCAACCTGTACCATTCTGTACACCTTGATCAAGGCAGCCTGTGCAGCATCGCATCCCTGCATTCCCCGCCACCGCCTCTCAAACTCCAATGCGACTGGGGAGCAGGAGGGGCCACAGGGGAGGGGCTGATGCACCTACCTTAGCATGCCTGATGTAAGTTCTGAAGTCAGCCTGTACCATTCCCACTGAACCCAACTTCGCACGCCTGATAGTACTTGCAAAGGCCTGTAGCATTCCCACTACCCACCTTGATCAAGGCAGCCTGTGCGTCGTCACACCCGTGCAGTCACCGCCACCGCCTCTCAAACTCCAACGCTGACTGGGGAGGAAGGGGCCACTAGTGCTGCCTTGGCATGTAGCCCTCATACCTCTCACCGCTCACCACTCACCTCTCACCTTGATCAAGGCAGCCTGTGCGTCGTCACACCCCTGCAGTCGCCGCCACCGCCTCTCAAACTCCAACGCTGACTGGGGAGGGAGGGGCCACTAGTGCTGCCTTGGCATGCTTGCCATAGCTTGTAGCCCTCATACCTCTCACCGCTCACCACTCACCTCTCACCGCTCACCCCTCACCCCTCACCTTGATCAAGGCAGCCTGTGCGTCGTCACACCCCTGCAGTCGCCGCCACCGCACCTCAAACTCCAATGCTGACTGGGGAGGGGCCACTGGAGCTGCTGCTGCTGCTGCTGCTGCTGCTGCTGCTGCTGCTGCTGCTGCTGTTGGTGGTGATATTGTTGCTGCCACCGTTGCCACTGCTGGCTGCTGCTCCTGCTGCTGCCCTAGCCCCTGCTCCGGTCTCATCTCCTCATGCCGCCCCACTCCCATTATCTCTGCCGCAGCTGCCTTTTCTCGCAAAATTTCTGCTGCCCGAGCAATGGCCACCTCATGAGCCGTTGTGAGCTCAACGCCCTGCAGTGACGTGTGAGTCGACTCATAGGTGTGTGCTACTGCTGCCCCACCCAGTGTTGATGTGAGCTCAATGCTCGGAGATGACTTTTGAGTCAACACGGAACTCTGCTGGACTGCCACTGCCACGGCGTGTGCTGATGTGGCATCTACGCCTTGCGGATCAGCACCGGCTGCATTTGAAGGCGCATGGGAGACAGAGGCCAAGGAGGCAGTGGGAGCGAGGGGTGGAGCAGAGCTTTCCAAAAGCGCAGTCGACACCCTGACCTCCTCCGCTCCCTCTGGCTGTGTTCCTACCGCCTCCTCCAGGTCCCACTCCTTGTGTATCCCCTTCTGTAACATCACTGATCGTTACACTCCCTGCACCTCCCCCCCCACCTCCCCCTTCACCCTCCCCAGCACCTCCCTCCGCCTCTGCAGCCCTTGTTACCCTTCTGTCCCCTATTACCCCACCAACTTCTGTGGCTTCTGAACTGTCTGTACCCCTCTCAACCTCTGTAAACGCCTTCTCCTCCTTCACCTCCTTTATCCCCTTAATCTCCTTTACCCCCTTAATCTCCTCAACCCCCTTAACCTCCTTAGTCTCCTTTACCCCCTTAATCTCCTGAACCCGCTTAACATCCTTAGCATCCTGAACCCCCTTAACCTCCTTAATCTCCTGAACCGATCTGCCTCCTGCAACATCTGTAGTAAGCTCTGATATAGTCACAGCGGCTCCTGATGCTCCTGCTCCTCCTGCAATCCCTGACACCCCTGGCACCACAACCTGGCCGCTTGCCGTGCCTCCCTTGAGCGCCTTTGCAATCACACCCACGCCCTGAATGATTTGGAACACGGTAGATGATCATAGGGGGAAAACAAGAGGTTACGCGCATGGTGAGTTCAAACCTCGAGGTGAATTATGAGTGGAATTTCCAACTCGTCTCAAAACCTACCCCAGGCATTATTCCCTTGCCATTAGCTGCCCCTCCCTTGAGGGCTTTTGCAATCACACCCACACCCTGAATGGTACAGGATACGGATCTCAATAAATATACGGGATTTCATTCACCATCCATACACCATGTCGAACCACTTTCCACCCCTCAGCACCCACCTCCTTGGCTTGCTTCTGCAGGAGCGCGTTTGCCTGTACTTGTTGCTTCAGCAAATCCTTGTTGCCGGGATCAAGAGATAGGCCTTGGATGATGTCTGTGGGGAGAGTGGGAGATGGAGGCAGGAAGAGGGTATGGGAGGAGAGGGGCGGAGATTGGGAGAGGTGTGGATAGGTAACCTTCCCCTCTGCTTGCTGCTTCAGCTTATCCTACTTGCCGGGGTCAAGAGAGAGGCCTTGGCTTATGTTATGTCTGTGGCGGGTGGTGGAGGGTGGGGGCAGAGAGGGGAGGGGAGGGGAGCGGAGGGAAGGGGAGGGGAGGGGAGGGGAGGGAAGGGGAGGGGAGGGGAGGGGAGGGGAAGGGAGGGGAGGGGCAGAGAGGGGAGGGGAGGGGAGCGGAGGGAAGGGGAGGGGAGGGGAGGGGAGGGGAGGGGAGGGGAGGGGAGGGGAGGGGAGGGGAGGGGAGGGGAGTTGAGGGGAGGGGAAGGGAGGGGAGGGGCAGAGAGGGGAGGGGAGGGGAGCGGAGGGAAGGGGAGGGGAGGGGAGGGGAGGGGAGGGGAGGGGAGGGGAGGGGAGGGGAGGGGAGGGGAGGGGAGGGGAGGGGAGTTGAGGGGAGGGGAGGGGAGGGGAGGGGAGGGGAGAGGAGGGGAGGGGAGAGGAGAGGAGAGGAGAGGAGAGGGGAGGAGAGGAGAGGAGGAACGCTTGGAGCAGGGTGGATGAGAGCACTTTTGAGGCGCCTCAAAAGTCATCTGGTGGATGAGAGCGTCTTGCCCTTGCCTCTTGCTTCAACAAGTCCTTGTTGCTGGGATCAAGCAGACACTCGCAGCCGCAGAAGCAGCAGCAGCACCACCACCACCACCGGCACCACGATCACCACCACACACCAGCGCACACCACCGCACCCCACCTTGCAATGCCTCAATGGGTCAAGTCAAGTCAGCATGAGCTGCGCCATAACCCTCCGCCAAGCACCTTCAAATACTCATCGTCTCAACTCGACAAGGTGAGATTGCACGCACTTGCAGCAGCAGCAGCAGCGGCGGCGGCGGCGGCGGCGGCGGCGGAAGCAGCAGCAGCAGGACCACCACACACCACCACGCCCCACCGTGCAGCGCGTCAATGGGTCGAATCAGCCTCAGCCTCGCCGTAGCTCTCCTGGTGAGCGTCTTCACATACTCATTTCCGCGACTCAACAAGGCAGGACCGTGCACACTTGCAGCAGCAGCAGCAGGAGTAGTAACGGCAGCATCACCACCACACCCCACCGCACCCCACCTTGCAGTGCTTCAACGGGCCGACTGAGCCTGAGCCGGGCTGTAGCTCTCCTGGCCAGCGCCTTCACTTTCTCACAATTTTTTAGCTGCAGCTGTAAAAGGTGAATTTTTTAGACATCTCACAATTTCACTTTCTACTCATCGTTGTGATGCAACAAGGTGAGATGTCACACACTGGCAGCAGTAGCAGCACCATCAGTATCCCTACATACCAGCACACACAATTGCACCCCACCGCACCCCACCTTGAAGTGCGTCAATGGGCCGACTTGGCCTCACCAAGGTGAGATGGCAGCACACACTTGCAGCAACAGCAGCACCATCATATACCACCACACCTCACCGCACCCCACCTTGCAGAGCGTCAATGGGTCGACTGAGCTTGAGCCTAGCAGTAGCCCTCCGTGCGAGCGCCTTCACATACTCATCGTCCCGATCCAGCCCAGCAAGGCAAGCTTGCACTCGCCTTGCAGAGTGACAACGGGCTGACTGAGCTTGAGCCTGGCGGTAGCTCTCCTAGCAAGCGCCTTCAAATACTCACCATCCCGATGCAACGCTTCTGTGCAACAAGGCAAGATCACTCACCTTGCAGAGCGTCAATGGGCCGACTGAGCTTGAGTCTAGCTGTGGCCCTCCTAGCGAGCGCCTTCACATACTCATCGTCCCGATCCAACGCTTCTGTGCAATCCGCTTCGGCCTCCTCGTACCTGTTACAGGCACATTCGATACAAGCACATTAGATATCATAAAAGGAGAAAAATCCATTACATGCACATGTGAAAAGGAAGCTGCAATCGAGCAATAGTTGTTCTATTTTAACTCTTCCGTGAAAGCCGCCGCCTTGGGTTCCTTTGTGCATGGCTCAAACACCCTGGCCTGGCAAAGGCCACAGCGGTGGGATGGAACGGCGGGTGACCCTTCCCCTGCTCTCACCATCCAGCCCAACTGCTGACCGTGTCTAGTGCTACCCCACCCCCCCCATTCCCCTCTTTCGCCTCACCTGCCCAGCTTGAGTGCTGCCATGGCTCGATTGGCGAAGGCCACAGCGGTGGGATGGAGAGGCATGCAGCTCCTCTCCTCTCCTCTAGCATTTCAGCCCCACTGTGCGACCCCTTCCCCTTCATCTCACCTGCCCAGCCTCAGTGCTGCCATGGCTCGGATGGTGAAGGCGACAGCGGTGGGATGGAGGAGCTGAGCTGGTGCCCCTCCCCATGCCTCTCCCTTCAGCCACACAGCCCCACCCTGTCTCATCTCACCCCTCAACCCCTCTCCCTCGCCTCACCTGCCCAGCTTCAGTGCTGCCATGGCTCGGTTGGCGAAGGCCACAGCGGTGGGATGCAGGGCGATGCTCTGAGAGTAGCATGATAGGGTGTGAGGTATGGGGGTTAAGAGGCACCAGGGGCTGGAGCCCCTTGCTCCACCGTTGATTTCCTCACCTGCCCAGCTTGAGAGCAGCCATGGCTCGGTTGGCGAAGGCCACAGCGGTGGGATGGAGGGCGATGCTCTGAGAGTAGCACGAGAGGGCTTCCTCAAAGCGACCAGCCTTGAAATGCTCGTTGCCCTGATGATGAGCGCACCGAACACATGCACACAAGGACATATGCACATAAGCTCATATACGTGTGGGTGCACGGAAGCAGAGTGCACGGAAGCAGAGTGGACAATATCTTATTAGTAGGGTTGTTCCAAGCGACCGGCCTCAAAACTCACCTCCATGCCCCCTCTTACCACTTTCAAACCTTTGCCCCAACACCCACATCTCCCATCTCCCTCACAGTTCCTCGCCTTCCTCGCCTTCCTCGCCTTCCTCGCCTTCCTCGCCTTCCTCGCCTTCCTCGCCTCTTGCCACTCCCTTCTCTCCCTCCCCACTCACTCGCCCTTTCCTTCTCTGCTGCAGAAGCTGCTTCTACACCTCCCCTACCCTCCCTACCCTCCCTGCCCCCCAATCTCGTCCGCATCCCCCTCCCTCCCAGTCACGCACCTCCTTCCCCAACACTCAACCCTCTCCCATCCCCATCGCTCACTCCTTTCCTCCCTCTCCCTACTCACCCTTTCCTTCTCTGCTGCAGCCGCTGCCTCCATGCCTCCCCTCCCCGCCCCCACACCCCCAATCTCGTCCCCATCCCCCTCCCCCCCAACATCCGCTGCTGCTGCCAGTCTGCCAATCAGCTCTGCAGCCCCCCCTGATTCCCCAACCGCCCCTGCTCCTCCCCCTGCTCTTGTTGCTTTTGATTCCGCTCCTCTTGCTGCTCCATCTGCTCCCCCACCTGCTGCTGCTTCGCCTGCCGCTGCCCCGCCTCTGGCTTGCCCTGCTGGCTTCTTGCTGTTGCCACCTAAGAAACCGACGTTCCAGCCTGGCGCTGACGTGGACGGCTCGGCGTTGACCTGGCAGTGAGTGAGAGATGTGAGGAGTTGGGGGAAAAATGGATAAATAGTTGTTGAAAAAAAGGGGTTTCTACCTTTCACAACCGACATGCGGATCTGGTGAAGTCTCCGGTTGAAGGTAAAGGTTTGAGATTTGGAGATTCGGGTTTAAGGTGAAGATTCAGGGCTTTACGTGAAGACCTGTAGAACATTGGGGTTTAGTGCAGGGAAGGCGGGAGTTTAGTGCAATTTATTGCAGTTAAATTTTCGGATTTAGAGAATTGAAGTTCAGAGCAGAATCTGTAATGTAAAACCCACCACGCAGACCGCGCACATCATAACACCACAAAGCACGCAAACCACACCACACCACACCACACCACACCACACCACACCACACCACACCACACCACACCACACCACACCACACCACACCACACTGCACCGAACTTCCGACTGCACCCCCCACTCCTCTACCCCCCGCACCCCCAACCTTCCCCTTCCCCTTCTCCCCCTTCCCCCTTCCCCCTTCCCCTTACCCCACACAAAGCACCCTCTTCCCTTCCCCATGCTACCTCATTCAGCTATGGCCAACGCACAGGAGGGGGGGGCGGAACCCAGTGCTCTCGAAAGTAGTCCACCGAGAGCCTGATCGGCCGCCCTCCTCCCAATCCCCCCCCAATCCTCCTCCTATTCCCTTCCCCATGGCACCCCTTTCTCAACTCTAACCAACGCACAGGAGGGGCGGGCGGAACCCAGTGCTCTCGAAAGTAGTCTACAGTGTGGCGGAGCGAGAGTCTTGAACCTCCCTTACCCCCCTTTCCCCCACAAGGGCCATCCCTCCCCTTCCCCTCACTGAGAATTTAGCCAACGCACAGGAGGGGGAGGCGGAACCCAGTGCTCCCGAAAGTAGTCCACCGTGTGCCTGATCGGCCGCCCTTCTCCTCCTGATGCTGCAGATGATGGTGCCGGTGTTGGTGCTGGTGCTGGTGCTGCTGACGTGGCTTGTGCTGACGTGTCATTCGCGCTGTTGAGTTTGGACTTGGCTTTCTTCTTTGCTGCTGCTGCCGCGCCATCCTGATAACACCATGCATGCATCCATGCACCCACGCACACATGCACCCACGCACACATGCATCCACGCACACATGCACCCACGCACACATGCATCCACGCACACATGCACCCACGCACACATGCACCCACGCACACATGCACCCACGCACACATGCACCCACGCACACATGCACCCACGCACCCATGCACCCACGCACCCATGCACCCACGCACACATGCACCCACGCACCCATGCACCCACGCACACATGCACCCACGCACCCATGCACCCACGCACACATGCACCCACGCACCCATGCACCCACGCACACATGCACCCACGCACCCATGCACCCACGCACCCATGCACCCATGCACACATGCACCCATGCATCCATGCACCCACGCACACATGCACCCATGCACCCATGCACCCATGCATCCATGCACCCATGCACCCATGCACCCATGCACCCATGCACCCATGCACCCATGCACCCATGCACCCATGCACACATGCACCCATGCACCCATGCACCCATGCATCCATGCACCCACGCACACATGCACCCATGCACCCATGCACCCATGCATCCATGCACCCATGCACCCATGCACCCATGCACCCATGCACCCATGCACCCATGCACCCATGCACCCATGCATCCATGCACCCATGCACCCATGCACCCATGCACCCATGCATGTATGCACCCATGCACCCATGCACCCATGCACCCACATATCATCCACATGGCAGCATCATGCACATGCATGTAGGCATGCACATGTCCACATGGCAGCACCATGTGCATGCACATGTCCACATGGCAGCACCATGTGCATGCACATGTCCACATGGCAGCACCATGCACAGGGAACGGAGAGAAGTCGAATCGCAATATAGAATATCCTCAGTTCGCTGTGCGCTGGAATATTGGCGTTACTTTTGAGAATTCTAAAGTAAATTTTGAGTCGACTCAAGTCACTCTGGTAGTCTATGCTTGCATCACGCTTCCGATCTCTGAAAAAAACGATACAATTCTAGTGCTCGATCCACCCATCTCGCTCTACCCTTTAGCATCGCATGATAGAACCCTTCCCTATGATCAAGCGGACCCTTCCCTACCTTTGCTTTCCCAGCCACTTTATCCGCCTTCCTTCCCTTCCCGGAGACGCGCCCCTGGCCTTTACCCCCACCTCCGCCGCCCGGCCGCGCCGCCTCTGCCAGCTTCTGCCAACTGTCAAGATCGTGGAGCAGATCCGCCATGCTGACGTCGTCACTGACGGAACTGACGTCACTGAAGTCACTACCGGGGTCTCTCTTGCCGTTTTTCGCGCTGTCGTGAAGGAATTCTGTCGAAATCTGGGGTTACAAGTGGTTATGCTACAGTAATATGAACACAACACACTCCGGATCGCCCTGGATCGGTTCGCCTAACCTTCGCCGTCGGATCGTTTGCTAGCGCGATTTGATTAAGTTCCCGAACTGAACAGAGTGGGGAAGTTTGACCAGAGCTGCCGACGCTTAGCTATTGCGGTAAGCGCGGGAAAGGGTGGGGGGGAGAGGGGGGGGAAAGAGGGCTGTAGTAAGTGGGGGGAAGGGAAGGAACGATGGCGGGTGTGTGGGAGTGCAGCGAAGGTTAGCGACTGAAGAGTGCGAACGAAGGGGGGTGGTAAGTGGGGTGTCGAAGGGAAGTTAACGGGAGGAGAGAGTGACGAGAGAGAAAGACACGTGTAAACGACGGGACGGCGGGGACGCGGCGAGCGCTTGGCGGATGTGCGAGAGTGCCACGAGAATGAACGACGGGAGTTCTAACTGTGCGATGAGGTGAGTTTTGAGTCGACTCGCAAGTCACCTCGGATGTGCGAGAGTGCCACGAGAATGAACGACGGGAGTTCTAACTGTGCGACGAGGTGAGTTTTGAGTCGACTCGCAAGTCACCTCGGATGTGCGAGAGTGCCACGAGAATGAACGACGGGAGTTCTGTGCGACGAGGAGGGCGATAAAGGGGAAGCGAGAGCGACGGGCAGTGAACGCGAGAGCGACGGGGTAGGGGAAGCGAGGGCGTGGAGGCGAGATTGAACGACACTGTGCAGTACTGAGTGACGGGAGAAATAGAGCGACGAGATCGCCGCAGGAGTGGGTAACGAGTGACGCCCAATCGCACTTCACCGCGATGAGAGCTAGTGATTCGAGTGAATTCCCACCTCACAGGATCCGTTACAAGGCCGCGCCTCATTAAGAACCCTTTCCCTTTATGCCTAGTGCCATGTATCCCAAAACCACACAATGACAAGCTCACTTCTTCTTTGGTTTCTTTCAGGGTCTACGATGCGGATCATTCTCTTATATACTTTGGTTTATGTGATTGGATTTCGACTCCTTGCATAAAATACTTTTTCGAGGTAGGGCTAATGTTATCATAATACTAATCTTAATTATCAAATTTGTAGCATTAATAATTCAATATCCCTGACAAAACACCCCCCTTCCCCCCCTCCACCCGCCTCCCCCCCAAGATTAAACGCCCTCATGTGTGTCAAAATTGTGTTAGAATAAGCAGGAATGAATGAGTGAACTAGGCAAGAGGTGAGTACAAGTAGGGGAAACCTAACCCTAAAGTGTTGTACTCACTAAGGAGTGACCCTATTGTAGCCTAGAGATAAAATTGTAATTTGACACACCCCCATAGGCAAAGTAGGGGATAGCAAACACAACAAGCGGTCACAAGACCAGTCTGCAGAAGAGAACACAGCTCAGGGTGGATCACAAGGTCACCACGCATTCTGAGCACAAGCAAGTGGCCACAAGGCCAGTTCACATGCAGAGGTATATAATAGCAAGGCAGTACACTGATCACAACCTAGCAAGAGAAAACATGCAGGTATAAAGATATATAGCAGTGTACAACAAGAGCAAGTCAAGCAACCAGCAGGTGAGGCAGAGTGGGCACAAGCCCAAGAGCAGTGCAGAAACGCTGATGATCACCAGCCCCAAGGGCCTTGGTGAAGACATCAGCAGTGTTGGCCCGAGAGGCCACGAAAGCAAGGCGCAGCTGACCACGCTGCAAGGAAGTAACGAAGAGCAATGTGCTTCGTTCGGTGCTCCAGTCTCTGCTCGCGACACAAAGCAAGCATTGCCTTGTTGTCGACGTACAGAACTGGAGGAGAACGAGGCCGCTCCCCCAAGTCGGTCAGCAAGTAGGTCAGCCAGCGAAGCTCCTGTGCAGCCATGGCCCCAGCGTAGATCTCGGCCTCACAGCTGGAACCAAGCACAGAAGAAGAACGAGTGGACCTCCACGAGACAGAACCAGCACCAAGACTGAAGGTGTAGCCCTGTGACGAACGCTGAGTCGCCTGGTCGTCGGCCCGAGAAGCGTCAGAGTGTCCTGTGAGGACCACCGAACCCCGTCCTTCAAGCACGAGCCCCATGCCCGATGTGCTGCACAAGTAGCATCAAAGTTCACCTTTCGGTGTCTACCGGGTGCCACGTAGCGAGCCAGAAGGCTGAGAGGGTACGCGAGGTCAGGTCGTGTGCACGTCATCAGGTACATGAGGCAACCCACAAGCTCTGGGTACGGACCACTCGACTCTACAGACTCGTCCGAAGGTGGAGCTGAGAGCGAGTGGCCGGTAGCCAGAGGAGTGGGCTGTGGCGAGGAGTATGTGAAGCGGAAGCGCTGAAGGACCTGGTGCACCATGTGTGACTGAGTCAGGGTGATGGTGCGCCGTGCTCTGTCCCGGAAGATCTGCGAGCCAAGATAGCTCCGCAGCTCACCCAGGTCAGTGCAGGTGTGTATCTCCTGCAGCTCCGCCTTCACTAGGGCTAGTGCCTCAGTGTCAGCAGTAGCAAAAACCAAGTCGTCAACGTACACGAGGATGTAGAACGGCGGCAGAGAAGTGTCGGTGCGTAGAAACAGCAACAGGTCAGCAGTCGAAGGAGCAAACCCAAGAGCCGCAAGTGTCGTCCTCAGTGTGTCGTGCCACTCGCGGGGCGCCTGACGCAGGCCGTACACTGGTCGCCGTAGGCTCGACTGGGTACCCTCAGGAAACGACCCAGTGAAGCCCTGTGGACGGCGCAACCAGATGGCCTCATGAAGGCTACCCTGCAAAGAAAGTTGTCGAGAAGTCGAGGGAGTGCAGCTCGTAGTCACGCTGAGCTGCAACGTGTAGCAACACCCGAAAAGTGGTCATCTTTGGGGTGGGGGAGAAGGTCTGAAAGAAGTCGACCCCCTCACGCTGACTGAAGCCTCGAGCAACGTAACGTGCCTTGAAGGCAGGCGGAGAACCCGGCGGTCGCTTCACCCTGAAAATCCACATGCCACTGACGATGTTCGCCCCAGGTGGGGGAACCTCGTCGACGTAGGTGCCTGTGGACTTCCAGGAAGCCATCTCTGCGTCCATGGCAGTCTGCCACTGAGAGGAGTACTCACCCGAAATCGCCTCCCTGTAGGAGCGCGGGGTGGGGATGTCAAGTGCATCCGGGTCTCCTTCAGGGGCAAGCAGCATGGTCGCGTGATAGGGTGAAGCGACGGCAAGGCACTCCAGCTCCTCCTGTCTGTCCTCAACAACGTCACAGCCAAGGGCAGTACAGCCAAGAGCAGTCTCACCCTCGACGGACGGAGGACAGGCAGGGACAGGGTCAGAGACAAGACTCGCAAGGTAGTCGAGGCGGTACACAGCAGCTAAGTCAACGAGCTCAGCTACTAGGGCAGACGCAGTAGGAGACGAGAACGTCGGGTCCGTCACAACCGTAGCAAGAAGGCGAGTAACAGTCGGACTGGACGCACGAGCAAGGTCAGACGGAGGGTCAGCAACGTAAGGCAGAGAGGACGCAAGAGGTAACGGTAGGACAACACGAGCACCTCCGGGACCAGTAGCTCCAGCACCAGCAGCTCCAGTACCTCCAGCTCCAGGACCTCCAGCACCGGCAGCACCTCCAGTAGTAGCAGCAGCTCCAGTACCCCCAGCACCAGCAGTACCTCTAGTACCTCCAGTAGTACCTCCAGCACCTCCAGCACCAGCAGTAACAGTACTTCCAGCACCGGCAGCACCTCCAGTACTAGCAGCTCCAGTACCTCCAGCACCAGTAGCACCTCTAGTACCTCCAGCAGTACCTCTAGGCCTAGCAGCTCCAGTACCTCCAGCACCAGCAGCACCTCCTGGACTAGTAGCTCCAGCACCAGCCCGACCGTACCCTCCACCACCAGGACTGCCTCGTCGAACGACCCACGCACGAATCGCCTGCGGCGAGAGCGTCTCAAGTAGAGCAGGCGGCGGTGGCTGTCCAGCTCCAGTACCTCCAGTATTGGTAGCTCTAGCACCTCCAGCACCAGCACCTCCAGCACCAGCAGCAGCTCCAGTACCTCCAGTAGTACCTCCAGGCCTAGTAGCTCCAGTACCTCCAGCTCCAGTACCTCCAGTATTGGTAGCTCTAGCACCTCCAGCACCAGCACCTCCAGCACCAGCAGCAGCTCCAGTACCTCTAGTAGTACCTCCAGGCCTAGTAGCTCCAGTACCTCCAGCTCCAGGACCTCCAGAAGGACTCGCAGCACCCCCAGAGTCAGCACCCGAAGTCTCAGCACCCCCAGAGTCAGCACCCGAAGTCTCAGCACCCCCAGAGTCAGCACCCAAAGTCTCAGTACCCCCAGGCGCAGTACCCTCAGTCTCAGTACCCTCAGTC